ATTAAAGTTTTTCTTCATTACCCATTCAAGTGCCTCCAAGCGTTATCTTGTACAGTATGATTTAAACGTTTCCTAGTAAATTAAATGTTCTTATTTAAACCACGTAAAGTCTTTCATATGAAAAACAAAAAATTTAATTATGGTTAGTGTTAAACTCTAATTAGTTAGGAACTGTAACATTTGCTCCAGATGTATTAGAATGTTAATTTATTTTCGAAAAAATATATTGTTTTTACTTAATATCCTGTCTGTAAGTTAATGGAACTGAATTCGTGGGATTGGGTAGGCTACACAGAGTGTCACGGTTTTCAGTATTCAAGTTGTAACAAAAGAAAATGTATTCTGACAAAGAGGTCGATCTGTTAATCTTAAAGGCATTAAACTAAAAAAAAAAAAACATTTTAAGACCAAAAGATCAATATTGATCGACCACGAAGATGCGGAGTTTAGAAGGTTGGCTAGACTGTTCCTCTTGCACAAAATAGTAGAAGTGCTACTTACTCACCTTACTCTCTTACCTTACAGCGGCAAAGTAAGCTTCTTTGAACTTCCTCGGCCACCTGTTTCGACAGAATACGCGAAAACCGTGGAGCAAACGGGTTTATAGACCCGAGGAACTAGATATTGTATTGTTCAATATGTGCGACCACTACCATGTTTTGTGGGAGAGTTTCTATGGTGTATAGGTTTTACTCTCTCCTAGCCTGGACACTACTACGAATGCGGCCACGCTGGTGGGCACTTTAGATTCCAGATATCGCTAAGTGTTCGAATCTTTATTCAGATTTTTTTTAAAAGAGAGTACCGGAAAGCTTAGCTTGGGAATTAATCCAACAAACATGTCTCCTGGATTTGCAGACTGAGTGTTAAGATATCTAAAACTCGATCAGATCTTTTTCACACAGGGAAGCTGAGGACACAAAAATATTCAGTATTCATGACATATATACGGGAGGAGAGTATTTGCGCATATGTAAATGGTCCAGCTATAATGAAAGAGAAATACCTGAGTAAAATGTGATAGGATATAAAAGTCTTAATGATTTTCAATTTGACTTATAAACAAATAACCAGTTGTATGTCACATGGGGAATACAATCGAAGGAAATTTAAAAGTGTGTTTTTTTTAATTCCAGGTAAGTGCACAGGATTAGGGATTAGAATTTTGGCCACATGTTAAGTTTTATGTAAAATGTTTTTATACCAAAGTATTTGAAAACAAAACGAAAGATTAAACTCAAATATAAACAGACACACATTAGTTAAGTCAAGCACAATTTGTACACGTTCTAGGAAAATAAACTGGTTAATAAATTTGGAAAAGAGGAATTCTGAGTTTTATAATTCCTAGTTAAACATTACAAGAATACCTTAACAAAAACAAGTTCTGGTGTTATTGTCTTTGTTACGTATTAGAATTTCAAATAGCCTGAAATTGAGCTAACTGATAAATGTAAATTTAGTAGTTAGATTAATATACACACAACAATACTATTTACAATAACAGTTATTACAAATATGTATTATAAACAATGATTTATAAACAGTTTCACAAACTTATATAAAGTCTTCCTTTTAGTCTGGAACTTCGATATCTTATCAAGGGTTCAAGATGAGCGAGTTGATTACGAGTTGACGTTGGTATAATTCACTTCACGGGAAGCTAGCTAGCTTTGTCCTTCGTTATTTACTAGCCCCACAAACCGATATTTTACTACTGGTGACGTTAGGTAATTTTTTCTTAAAAATACTAATGTCTGACGAGAATTCACTGATATTAAACGATTTGTAATGTTCGAACTTTATAAATGCTCCTGGTCAAATGTCTGAATTTTTCCGATTGGTAAGCATTATAACAATAACAGTTATAGCTTCCGAAGTTTATAGCACACTAACTATAGCAAACTAATAATAGATACTCTCATTTGGCGTGTCATGTTGGTTATATTTATAGGTGTATGGAGGCTTTCTGGAAATTTCAGTTTTACGCAACAATACTGGCCCTAACACAAGAGTTTATGTACATACATATATTGTTGATTCTAGATCTCGAGAATCTTCTACAACTTTGGAGAATAGGCGGGAGTTTTGCAATACATATTTAACACTATAGGCTATGCATGTTTCTAAATATAAACTTAATCTAAATAAACGTTGATATTAAGATAAATATATAATAATAAATTCGTTACATCTTATATAATCATACTATGTGTTTTCTACTTTTTGTATTAATATAGATAATTTCAAAATGTTCTTAATGTGTGCTGTTTTTCTTAGCACGTTGCTCATGAATGTTGTTAAATCCCTTTTTGCTTTAGCTGCTTATTGTATCATGTCATTCACTTACAGTAGCGTCCTTGTCTTTTCGTGGGAATGTTAAATGAAAGGTTACCTATAATTATAGTATTTTGGCACTTGTGTATAAAGTTAAAATCATAAATAATATTCAACGTTAAACTGGTACACAATTAAAAACATTTTAGTTAGGCCTATCTATGGTCTTCAAAAAGTTGACGACTCTACATGTTTTAACGTTACAACGTCATCCTCAGGTTACCTATACTAAGTGAAGTTAGATGTAATTTCCACTGGCGGTCATGTGACCTTTCAAGGTGACAAACTTTCTTGTATTTCATTTGGAAATAAATATTAATATATGTAGCGCTATTTGTTCTGAATAAGTCTGACGTTAACAATTTAAGTAGATAACGTGAAAATTGTTCAACATGGAAGAAGATCTAAGAAGATTTTGTATTAGATATGATCTTGAGTGTTTGTACTAACTTTCCAGTAAAAGCAACTCTTTGTTCTGAGAAGTTGAGTATACATGTTCATTGTACTTGTTTTAAATAGAGATTATTCATGTGAATTGTACACTTGTGTTTAGTCTTTATTTATCATTAATTCAGTAGTAAAAGAACATAGAACTATTTCGTAGTAAATATCTTGTCGAATCTCCCGTTATTAAGCGGATCTGTCTTACCGAAAGTATGACATTATTATTCTTAAACAAACAAACAAGATATCTTTGACAAAAATGAAATTCTGGGCATCATCATACTGGTAAAAAATGACAAGAACACCTTAACGAAAAGGGAATTCTGATGCTACCATTTGTGTTCAAACATGAAAGAAACACGATAAAAAGAATGTGATCCATTTAATGTGTATTATTATGGTATCATCCTGTAGAGTGTAGATAACTGTATCTACACCAATGCTTTTCTTCCACCACCATCATTACCATATGCGTGACGTTCCTATATGAAAATAGGGTTAAATGGATTTGGATCTGTGTTTCATCAGATGACTATATATCTGCCATCTGATTGAAAGGTGACTCATCTATAAAAAAAGGATATTTCTCCACATGTCATTGATGCATGTTTTGGGTACCATTGTAGGCAGAATGCAACGGGCTCTAGACGTACGGGTCGGCCTTGCGAAAACTGTTTTTAAACGTCTGAGCATTGGTAGGACGAATTTCTAATTGAGCGTTAGAGTAAGATCTCTATGATTGCGAAATGCAACTGTATCATTTATATTAAAGTGTTTCACATTCTGATAATAACATTGTTGAAACAAATTTAGTAATGCCATTTTGTAAATGGACGGAAAATATAATAAGTATTATAAATATTTAGCGATCGTTAAGACTTATTATTTATTATTTAATGCAAAGTGACAAAACGTTTTCTTTACGTTTACAGAAAAATGCTTATGTTATTCCTATAAACTGAGAAACATATCACTGTAAATATACGTTAATGTATCAATGGTTTTGCAAGAATTATAAGAATACACCTTAAAGTTCAGAGCAGTTATAGACAAATTTTTTTAAAACTTTACCATATATGCAAGTAAAATGCTTAAAGAAGCAGTTCATATATCACGCTTTGTAACGCTTTAACTTCGAAAGAAAATAAGGGTGAACATTTGCACTGATTGTTTATGCTTAGCTTCTTTTGATAATCAACGTTTTTAATTGTGTAAGAGCCAAAGAAGTTCAGTCCTAAGATATCATTTCTCCTTACTGTTCCTATGAAGTTTGAAAGACAAAAATATGCTCTTTATGATTAAAGAGCTGAACAATGAAGTAATAATTTACTTGCCTTGTCTTCCTTTTCTTCTGTTGGTACTATCATACAAGAAGCTCCGTAATAAATCATGTACTTGAGGTCTTTAGGATTTATGGCTGTACTTATGTTGATCACTTTGAGACCATTTTTAGGATCAGTTGAAGTCATTCCATGATCCGAGACAATAACCAGATTAATCTAAATATATAAGAAATATTTACGTGAAAATAAGGCTTTTACTAGTACTAACAAACAAGATAAATATCGCATTCACTTTTACTCCACGGCTACAATACCAGCTTTATTTTTAATGGGATTGTCAATAACTATATCATGTGAGGCTGATTTGGAATGAAAGATATAAAGGAAACACTGTAAAAATATGTTGATTGCACAATCATACTCGCGAGAACGCAAAACTATAAGTTCTGTTGTTATTATAACAATACAACTAGGGCATGATTCAACTACTCCTTGATTAAACTGAAGAAATATAAATCTTAATATTCAACAAGTATCTTCAAAATTATTCGATGTATTTTACGCCAAAGGTTAGCTCTGAAAGAACTCTAAATATTTTAAACAGAAATTATACAAAATAAGAAAAAAAAAGTAAAGAATAATCATCACCCCTCAACTTTTAAAACAGTTTGAGTATGTGGATGATATTTTTCTTAAGAACCTATTTTAGTTAATCTCAAATATTTTAAAATTTTTTTAAAATTATTTGAATATCAAGCTCTAACTAGACATTGAACGGGTGACAACAATAATAAAAGGTAATTTGTTAGTTCTTTACAATATACTCAAGAATAATCTCATGTTCTTATAATAAACATTCAACTCTTGATCAGCGGTAAGTTTGAGAAATTAGAGTGCTAAAATCCGGGGCAGAGCACAGACAGACAATTGTGCAGCTTTGTGTCAGAAAAAGCAAACAAATTTATAATAAACAATTATTGACGATTAACTACGAAATTTAGTTCATTTTAAACTAAAAACCCACGATCGCCATGACAGTTTTTTTACATAAATATAGGCCTGCCATGGTCAGGTGGCTAGGGCGCTCTACTCGAAATCTGAGGGTCCGGTTTCAAATCCCCGTCCCACCAAACATGCTCGCCCTTTCAGCCGTGGGGGCGTTATAATGGGACGGTCAATCCTACCATAAAAGAATAG